CAGTAGAGCTATTCTTGAATATGGTGACACATTGTTTTTACATAGTGCTATCTCTTTAGAAATGTTGTTCAGACAAACTATATTCTTTTGTCTCACCAGTTCTAACCTTCATGGCTAAGGCCCCCATGCTACACCTATCGTAGTGATGCACCCTTATAAGCATTGTATTCCATTGATGAGATGTAAGTTTCATTTGAGCAGCTTCTTCCCATGAGCTGATAATTTTTTTCTTTTAACCGACTCCCAAGAGGATGCTTCCCTAATCTCTATAATCTTAACCTGTTCAATTCTAGAATTAGCTGTTATCTTCGCCATAAAAAATGCCTCTTTCTCTGCAGGCTCATGGCCGCATCACATTGAAATGCTGGTTCCTGTACAATCACTGAAGTTAAGCAACATCTCTTGTAGATCAACTTGTCACTTGTTGAAACTTAGTTCAACTCAGGCACATATTAGTTTTCATATCAAAAACAACCAAAATACAGACTATGAACCTAAGAATGTTCGTAGATAATACCAAAAGACTATATAGTACCCAATGCAAGGAAAAATTCAAAATACTAAAAGCAATTATTATGCAAAATAAACACACCACTTTAACCAAAATCTCTATCACAGAAGATGGTATTTTAAAGTGTGTGTATAATAATAATAATAATAATAATTATAAAGAGTGTTTCATTAAGACGAATTAGATATAAGGGTGTTTCATTAAGACGGATCAAAGCAGTAAATAAATCGGTGTTATTGGTGAAAATTTATTTATTTCTCTATTGGATTATGGTATTTAAGTCGTGGCAATTATATGTGAAAATAATATCGCCCAAATGTCTGCTAAATCTGAAAGAAAATGAAAAAAAATCATTAGATGCTTAAACTTAATTCACATTTAAAATCGGTCCATGTTATTGGAACATCCTTTATATGTGTATATAATTTAGGATTGAGTTTTTGGTTCCTTCTAAATTTCACTTCAACTTGATACTTCTAACGTTCCTACCTAAACTCCGAAATAATTTATACTCTTATTGGGTTTCCTGTTCGTTCTAAAGTCTTTTCCTTTTATTTCACTTTTAGTAGCTCATTGTATCTTGCTGGGGGTGAAATTGTGTGTGTGTATATATATATATATAAATTGGGTGTAACAGCAAAATTCTCCAATTGTTATATTAAGCTTTGAACCGTTCCGTTGTATCTTAGAAATGATTAAAGATATCTTAGTGGAATTTTTAAGATATTTATAGCACTATTAGACTATATTTGAGCAATAACAATGTATAAATACTCTCCAAGCTTAACAGATGAATCGTGATGAAATCGATCATAAACAAAAATAAAATGTTCATCATTAATTAAGGGTTGAAGCTCATGAAGGATTGAAATAAAGTTCATATATATATATATATATATATATATATATATTATTCCAGGATCATTCTACAAGAAACCTGGCCACCCAGAAGAAAACCAAGTGGAAAAGTACCTATTGAAACGTAATTTCCCTATCATATACTTTCCAGTGTAATTTTATAAGTTTGTTCTCTTTTTAACTTGTGCTACAACTTCTGATCAGAACAACCTTGGTTAAATTATGCCAAAAGTTCAAAATAAAATCTTATTAAATTTCCCCAGGAATCAATTTCTAAGTCTGCAGCTAAGAAAGTTGGTTAACTATGTTGTGCCTAGACAATTTTTCTCGCCAGAATCTGTCTTACATATATCATTCGTCCTTGCTTTGAATATTGCTGCCACTGGTCTGGTGCTCCTGCTATATATTTAGAGATTCTTGATAAAATCCAAAGAATCTGCAATGTTATTGTTCTTGACCTGGCATCTCGGCTTCAGTCCCTTCCCCACCACCATAATGTAGCTTATCAATGCCTTTTCTATAAATATTTCATGGTAATTGTTCTGATGAACTTAGCCCTATGGTACCTAGATGTTATGAATTTGAGTGCATTACTAAATTGGCAGTTAGGCCTCATCATTTCACACTTGAAATATTTAAATGTAACCCTAAATTCTAGGTTAACAGTTTCTTTTATTGAACTTTTCACTTGTGGAACTCTTTTCTGGCTTCATGCTTTCTAGTCAACTTTGATCTTCAAATATTTAAATGCAATGTCAATCATTATCTTCTGTCATCTTAATTCTTGTTCTTTTATTGCCCTCTCTCCTTGATAGTAGTTTTTCTCATATTCTTGCATTATAATGGCTTTATTGACTTACTTGGGGTGAAATGTTTAAAAAACAAACAACCTATACATCCTTGTGCAAATTAAATGAAACAACTGCTTTAGTTTCCTTTCTTTCACTATATGGTCAGTTTAAGACCCATTTGAGTGACAGGGTGTAATTGATTTTTTTTTCTAGAAATATAAGACGAAAATACATTTAATTTTCATACTGTTTTTTTATCATATTCGACAAAACATGTTTGAAAGAAAGGTTGCTGGCCAAATATACATTTTATATATATATATATATATATATATATATATATATATATATAATTTTATTTATATATATATATATATATAATTTATTTATATATATATATATATATATATAATTTATTTATATATATATATATATATATATATATATAATTTTATTTATATATATATATATATATAATTTTATTTATATATATATATATATATATATATATATATTTAATATATATATATATATATATATATATATATATATATATATATATATATATATATATATATATATATATATATATATATATATATATATATATATATATATATATATATATTTTATTTATATATATATATATATTTATATTTATTTTATATATATATATATATATATAAAAACGTTTGCTTTTTGACTATGAGATCCTGGTTTTGAAACTCACCATGGTCAATTTGTCAGGAAAGGGACTTCCTGATGTTATTAGAATGGATTGAGGTCGATCCCAGCATGCAGCACTTTTGGAAAGTGTCTGAAAACTATACCATGGTTTGACCCAAGCATTGTAGATGCAACTCTTGGGTGCCGTCGATAGCTGTGCTAGCACAAAGCCACAAGTCATCGTGGCCCAGGACCATGCTGGCTATGTTCAAATTGTTGATCACGCTAGATAACATGCTCTCTCCCAGAAACTAACTAAGGTAAGCTCAGCAAAGTTGCAGTATAAATCACAGGTGGGTGTTGAGCAAACACAAATGTGCCTGAGAGAGCGTCTGCAATAGGGATTGGCTAGCTGCCCTAGTAGACGGGTATCCTCGAATACGAGTGGCCAGCTATTATATATGTATGTATGTATGTATGTGTGTGTGTGTGTGTGTGTGTGTGTGTGTACACACACACACACACACAGATATACCTACACAAAAAATTCTGAGAGAGTTATTTTGCCTTGATAAAGTTCATTAAAAGACAAAAAGCATTGGTTAAGATAAGTTTTCCTTTTGTCTTTATTCGTAGTTTCTTTTTACAGATAAACTCTATCTGGAATTTTACACACACACACTAATATATATATATATATATATATATATATATATATATATATATATATACAAAATACCCTACATTGATAGCACAACTCAGAGTTTCATGCTGTCTGCAATCCTCAGGTGCCAATTTTTTTCTTTTAATATATTTAATAGCTCTGTCATATAACATTGAGCACTGTTTTTTCTTATGCTATAGGGTGTGTGTGTGTTTGTGTGTATATATATATATATATATATATATATGAATGCTTGCTCGTACATTTACCTATATTTATCCGTTTGAGATATATAATCAATGTGTGCATTCTTTAGTTCTGCTCAGTCATAGCAAGTTTATTCTGACTCACTTGTGGAGTCATTTGCCAAAGTAATTTGTATCTGTTCTCTTGCATTCTTTGTCAAATTCCTGCAAGTATGCATATTTAGGTATGGGACGTGTGAACCCGACCACTCATCATTGTCAGTGGAATGCAGGCGATAAGGGGAGAAGGCAAGTTGATTTTGTAATCAAGGAGAGATTCTCTGCAAATTTTTAGCACTTGCAACTCCTCCCCCCCCCCAAAAAAAAAAAACTCCCAAATGCTTCTCCTGATTCTTGTTATTTTTTTTTTCTTAGCAAGAATGCATTACTTCCGTTGTTGGGAAAGAAATTTTTCAAAAATCAAAAACATTGCTGTTATGATTGAAAAAAAATTTTTGATAAATTTTCCCCCAGCCCTTTGTTCAGTTGAATAATTTAAAATGCTTCCACTTGTTCCTGACCACTGACAATCCCTTTCTTCCTCATTTACAATGAATTTCTATAGTGAAACACTGCTACAAAATAATAATTCTATATAAAATAGCCCTATTCTGCCATTAATGCTTGCCTTCGTTCCTGACCCCTGACAATCCCTTTCTTCCTCATTTACAATGCATTTCTATAGTGAAACACTGCTACAAAATAATAATTCTACATATAATAGTCATATTCTGCCATTAATGCTTGCCTTCGTTCTTCACCACTGACAATCCCTTTCTTCCTCATTTACAATGCATTTCTATAGTGAAACACTGCTACAAAATAATTATTCTACATAAAATAGCCCTATTCTGCCATTAATGCTTGCCTTCGTTCCTGACCCCTGACAATCCCTTTCTTCCTCATTTACAATGCATTTCTATAGTGAAACACTGCTACAAAATAATAATTCTACATAAAATAGCCCTATTCTGCCATTAATGCTTGCCTTCGTTCCTGACCCCTGACAATCCTTTTCTTCCCTCATTTACAATGCATTTCTATAGTGAAACACTGCTACAAAATAATAATTCTACATAAAATAGCCCTATTCTGCCATTAATGCTTGCCTTCGTTCCTGACCCCTGACAATCCTTTCTTCCTCATTTACAATGCATTTCTATAGTGAAACACTGCTACAAAATAATAATTCTACATATAATAGCCCTATTCTGCCATTAATGCTTGCCTTCGTTCCTGACCCCTGACAATCCCTTTCTTTGACTTATGGCCATATCACCATGAAAAACCTGTTCCTATATGAACACTGAAGTTAAGTGATATTGAGCCTAGTCAGTATCTAGAGGGGTGACCACTTTGAAATACCTGGTGTTATAAGCATTGATAAACTGTAGAAAAAGTCAAATGCAACTACCGGAAAAGCTGTGAAATTTGGTTTCATTGCGTTAAAATTCTAGCTGAAACCAGACTAGCTTTTTTTCCATTGTCTTGGAACCATCTGGAAATACAACTTGAAATGTCCCTGCAAGATTTGAAGCTATACAGAGATGTTGTTGTTGTTGTTGTTTTTTTTTTTTTTTTTAACTTTATAATTTGTATTTATTAATCGCATAACAAAAACACATCTAAAATGTTTAGGAAATAGACTTTTAAAAAATACTTTAAAGTTTTAGAAAGCAATAAATACAAAAACAAATAAAATTTTACTGTTATTTTCGTCAAGATCATGTCATTATTTAAAATTTTGGTTAAATCACTTTGAATAATTTTACACAGAAATATTAATTAAATTTTCTTTCTCAGCTTAGCTTTTATCTTATTTTAATTTAAGAATTATTCTCCATATATTTATTTTTTATATAAAAAAAATATGAGTGCATTCTAACAAGTAACAATCTATGGAGGCATGCTGGAGTAATGGATAGTGGCTCGGATTGAGGAATTGGAGAGCAGAGTTCGAATTCCAGTCGAATCCATTACATTCACTTACCTGCTAATACCCTTGGAAAAAGGTGTGAATCCTATCCTTCTCCCCCCAGCTATGGGTAAATAGCCGGACAGATCAGCTTCTATAGCCTTGGAAGGCAACTGGTCTACTGCAGAAAGAAATGGCAACCTACTGCAGGAAAAAATCCACCTTGTCAGTCATGTATCGAAAGACACATGATTGCCTAAGCGTGTGTCATGCATGGCACATAACTGACTGAACAATCTATCAAAAAATTTTCATTTTGCTCCACATCTTGACTAAATTTTCTGTATTTACCATTTTTTTTTTTTTTTTTTTACTTCTCTTTTGTCTTTTCAATTTAGTTTATAATAAACAGAAATGATATTTGTTAATGGTTCAGGCAAATTCTTTTAACCCAAAAATTCACGGTAAAAGACATTTTCTTGCTTTGTTAAATGAAAAATAGTTCTTCCAATCAGATCCTAATATTTTTTGAATTTAGAGATAAGTAATAAAGATATCTAAATTGAAGTCCTTAAAGAATTATTTCGCTTTGCTTGTGTGTTGTATTCTTCATTTATTAAAAGTTAGCCACTATTGGTGAGAAGAGTTTTTTTTTAAAGAAATAAGTTACATTTAAAATAATTTTTTTTTTATATCTCATCATTGTCCCCACACTGTAAAAAAATTTTGTATCTTTCAGAAAAATCCTAATTTTTTCACGTTTCAAGATAAGTAATAAAAATATCCAAATTAAAGTCCTTCAGCCTTTAATTTTTCATTCAGGTTTCGTTCTCCAGTTTAAGAAGTGATTAAGTTTTCTTTCTTTATTTTATTTTCATGCATATGCTCCATTTATTAAAAGCCTGCCATTACTGGTGTGAAGTAAGAATTTTATTTTAAGAAATTAATTGCTTTTATAATAAATATAATCGAAATTAAAGCACCATCCTAAAAGACCTAAACAGTCGTCCTAAATGGTGGAGAGCCATAACCACCCTATTTTTGAAGGTTTGTAGCCCCCTGCATTATTAATATCACTTCCCTTTCCACTACATTCTTTTTCAAGACCTCTCAGTTGCAGTATCCTTTTGTTAATTTCACTTGAAGTTGTTTTCTGTTGCCAAAGCAGGATATGACAACACAACTATCAAATTCAAATAGACTATTGTTCAGGGATCAGTCATTATCTTCAGTGGCAGGATAAACTTTCTGTACAAAGGAAGTCACATATAGAGTGATAAAGGATTAGAAAGAAGGCAGGACACTAATGAATACTAAGTTCAAATACGTTTCATTTGGCGACCATTAGTTAGTTTGCTACAGAACCATATGTACCAAATGTCATTGATATTGCTTTTGCAGTCATCCAGGTGTTTGTGCTAAGGAACATCAAGTCTTTTAGAACAGATATTTCCATTATGTTTAGATGTTTTTTTGTTTTTTTAAAGAAAAAAAAACATGTAACAGCCAATATTTTCAAGGGAAATGTAGACAATAAGATAGATAAGTGCATTAATGTATCCGGTTCAGCATAAGCTGAAGAGTTGGTTAAAAACCAGCTGTGTACCCAGTTTTTTAGCCCAGATATGTTCTCAGTGCTGTGTAGGGCTAATACCGATTATTACTTGAAAGTTTGTGAATCAGTGTATATTAAGTCCTACCAGCCATCTCTTTGTAAGTTGAAGGAGTGTTTTGCGGGCTTACAGGTAATTAGTCTTCCATGTTTTTGTTTTTTTCAGTTTGCATATGATATTAGTCAGTCTGGGGTTGTACACTTTTTCTTTTTAAATGTAAGTTTTATTTATTTTTGTTTATTCCTAATTAAGATATCCCCCTCCCCAAACTTTAAATTTCAGGTTCAGCTGTGATAAAGACCTGTCTAAAATACTTTTTCTTTCTTTCAGTCAAATGAAAGGATTGTGAATCGTATCCAACATGTAAAGAAACTAATCAAGCGTTTTAAGAAAGAAAGAAGGTATGTTTATTATTATTATTAATTTTTTTTTATCAAGTACTGTTTATGCTTGTGTATGAGGTCAGGTGTGAGTTTAAGGTCCAATATCCTCTTGAGGCATGGAACTTTCTTGTGGGGACATCCGTTCATTGTAACTGGTGGTAGTTGGGGGGTCTGATGAGCAAAAGAAATTGTCAATTAAACAGGAATGGGGAGTAGAGTAATTGCCAAAAAAAAAAACAATTAAAAAATTTGAATTAATTTCAGTAAATGAGATTAGCCAAGAACCAGCTGAAGTCCAAAGTGAGGTTTGAACTAGTGGATAATTTTGTAAAACATTAAACCCTTCATAACTAAACAAATCCATCCTTTTCAATGTAACTTTGGCCTGATTGACATGATGGAATAGATCCTCGATAACAACTTATGGCCATATCATGTTGAAACACCTGTTCTTGTACAATCACGAATGTTAATCAATGTTGAACCTTAGATGGATGACTGCTTGGCTACATGGGGAGTGTAATGGATAATGGTTCTGATTTGGAAATCGGAGTGCTGAGTTCCAATTCCAGTTGGGTTTTTTTGTATTCACTTATGTGCAAATACCCTTGGGAAAGATATGAACAGTGAGGTAGTTTGGATGGGACCAGAGAGGCAATTGCTCCAGGCCCTAAATGTTTAGGTGTGCAAAAAAAAATTATATAGAGAAAATGAGTATGAAACTAGAATTTATAACAGCTGATGACTGAGGGGAGGCACAATAGTTTGAATTGCCCCAGGGGCTCAAAACCCACCCTCCACCCCTGGATATGAATCCTCCTTTTCTCCCTCCTGTTATGGGTTAATTAGTAGGTTTTGTGTCATCATTATTATTGCCAAAAAATTCTTATAATCTAAAAATATTTTCTGGCTTTAAATAACCTGCAAAAAGTTGATAAGCCATAAAAAATAAACAGAAAACAAATAAGAAACAAAACAATGAGTAGAGAAATGGTATTGTGTAATGATGATGCAAGCAGAATTGAGCGTAAAGTTGACGCAGACAGAATCGAGCGTAAAGGTGAGGCGGACAGAATCGAGCGTAAAGCCGATGCGGGCAGGACTGAGCGTAAAGGCGGCGCGGGCCGGACCGAACATAAAAAGCATGGGCGCTGGCAGGACCCGAAGGTAAAAGGCGGGTGCTGGCAGGACCGAGCGTAAAGGTGACACAAATGGTATCAAGCATTATCATGTTAGAAATGGTATTAGGCCTAAAGAAACCATAAAAATGATAAAAAATACAATAATACCTAAAGAAAGATAAAAAAAAATTGCAAAATTAATTACATGCCAACTTATGACCAGATTGATTTACAACCCCTCGCTCGTAACCAATTGATGAACTGTAAAACATTGTCTGCCATTATTCATTTTTGACTCATTTCTTTTTTTTTTTTCATCTTAATTTTAGTTGCTTTACGTCACAATTAGTTACTGAGCTTAACATTCCATGACCATTAAGAAACAGCGTAGATTACAACGAAGATTAAATTTCAGAGGAAACTTGAGGTGAAATTAATATGATTTTAATTTTGTTTCTAATTCTCAGGTTCCTGTTGAGTAAGTTGGATGAGCATGGGGACAATTACCGTGACACACCCGTTCCTGTCATGTGGGAGGTAAGCACCAATGAATTATCAACGATGTAAGAAGTAGAAATAAGAGGCCTAAGGGTGGTGATCAGTTTTGAGAATGGTCTAATAATTTTTGAGATGTTTTCCAAATATATAAATTGGCTGCTTGCAGCATAAATGCGACTGTAAGTCCTATGTTAAGAGTCTCTTGTGTGTCTTGCTTGTGAAACTCTCTTTTAGCCTCTTGCTTCCCAGCCAACTTTGATCTTCAGTTAGGTGGGTTTTCTGGCACATTAACCCTGTGGGTTTTCTAATTCCAAGCCCTATTCATATATATATATATATATATATATAGATAGATAGACACACACATATATATATATATATATATATATATATATATAGACACACACATATATATGTATATAGACACACATATATATATATATATATATATATATATATATATATATACACATAGACACACATATATATACATACATATATATATATATATATATAGACACACATATATATACATATATATATATATATATATATATATATATATATATATATATATATATATATATGGTATTTATCAATTCACCCACAGGAATACATATATATATATACATATATATATATACATATATGATTTGAAAACGAATAGTTTATAAGTAGCATCGTTTTTTAAAACAAGCAGACTCATTCATCTGCACACTGGTAAAGTGATTCCATGTATTTGGTGTTTTATATTTTTTTGGTACAGCCTCATTTTCTTTGGGAATCCAAAATGCTTGAAAAGGTCCTTCAGGTTGTCGACCTGGTAATGTTTGGAACTGAATTTCTTCAACACAGAATGGAGGATCTTCCCCTTTATGCAGATATGAGCGTGTTTTGTTTGTGTCGCCTTTGTGGAATCAAACAAGGGTTATTACCTTCTTTCTAATTTTTTCTGTAACTCTGGTAGGTTATAATTATTGGTTGAATTTCTTTTATCTTATTGTCGGCGCAGTTATCCCAGAGAAATTATCGTTTGTTGGTTATAAATGTATTAAACTATTGAAAGAAAAGGGAGAAAAAGTGATAAACTTAAATAGCGAGTGTAAAGGGAAAAGAAAAATGAAGAAAAGGACAAATGATCACAACATCCACGCAAATGAGTCACACGCATGTAAGCACAGACCAGTATATATATATATATATATATATATATATATATATATATATGACCTGAGAATGAATGGTTTACAGGTAGCATTGTTTTAAAAATGAGCAAAGCACAATTTTTTCGCATACGATTAAAGTGATTCCGTGTATTTGTTGTTTTATATATTTTGCTACAGCTCCAATTCTTTTCAGAATCCAAAAATATTATTTGGATTGAACTATTCAAAAAAAGCTCCTTCAGGTTGTCAACCTGATAATGTTTAGAACTGCCTTTCATAAATATATATCCCACTGTAAATGGCGCATGACAGCCAACACAAAATGGAGGATCTTCTCCTTTAAACAGATATGAGTTTATGTATGTGTAGCCTTTGCGAAATCAAGCAAGGGTTACTATTTTCTTTCTCATTTTTCTGTAACTCTGGCAGGTCTTGATCATTGGTTGAACCTTTTTTTAGTTTATTCTCAGTGCAGTTAGGCGACAGGCTGTTTCATGCTAGACACAATCGTCAGACCTGATGATTGTGTCTAGCATGAAACAGCCTGTATCTAAGTGTTGACTTCAATGTTCACTTTTATATTTACACACGCTCTATCTCTGATATTGAGCACTTTATCCCATAAATATAGCACACCTTAAGAGTATATTTCTTTATATATATATATATATATATATATATATATATATATATATATAAAAATGTTATTTTTAATCTGACAATTTTATTACTTCATGTGTTAAATGATTAAAAAAAAATAGATTAACCCAGGCTTTTTTTTCAAGCTAGTACTTGAGCCAGCCATGGTTATTAAATCTAAAAAGTCATATCTTTGTATTAGTTGAACTATGGCTCTTTATATCTTTTTTTGTTTATTAGGAGGATCAAATTTATCACTTGAACCGGCGCACACACAGAAGTCCCCTGAATGATAGTGAGGAGGGTGCAGCAACCACTTCCAAATCAACTTTGGCCTACAGCAGCTTGTTGGATATGACAGGAGAAGGCCCTTTATCGTCAGCTATGGCGAAATTACGTAAGATGAAGGCCGAGAAGAAGGACAGCACTTGCATTGGTGACTCTGATGACCGTATTCCTCGTCAAAATGCATTCTTGACCTTTAGGGAACATCAAAAGGAGGTTATTCGTGATGAATATTATCAGGTAAGGTGGTCACCCATCATTTTCTCGTTTTTTTGCTATGTAGTCTGGGCAGCCTCCATATATACCATCGCCCAAGCCTGCACCCTGGAGAGATCACTGGTCTTTGTTCCTCCATGGTGCACACTGCTCATGAAGTGGCCATGTTTATACTGTAACAGCAGCAATAAAACTGGTGTGATCAAGCTCAAAGTTCAATTATGTGACTGCAATAGTTCCAAATATAAGCATGCATGAGCTGAATGCAGTGTGACAAACCTAAAGATATATTATAGTGAAAGTGCAGATAATTTTTGACTTACCCTCGTATATATATATATATATATATATAAAAATCAGATATTGCTATTTTTCATGACTTAAAGTTTCATGGAGTCTCTCAGTTTGTCTTGCAACCTTCAAGTGGTTCAGAGACAAGTATATATATATATATATATATATATATATATATATATATATATATATATAAAATCTGTTGATATATATTTTGAGATGTATATATAAAATCTGTTGATATATATTTTGAGATGTATATATAAAATCTGTTGATATATATTTTGAGATGTATATATAAAATCTGTTGATATATATTTTGAGATATATGTATATATAAAATCTGTTGATATATATGTTGAGATATATGTATATATAAGATCTGTTGATATATATGTTAAGATATATATATATATATATATATATATATATATATATAAAATCTGTTGATATATATTTTGAGATATATGTATATATAAAATCTGTTGAAATATATATGTTGAGATATATGTATATATAAAATCTGTTGATATATATATGTTGAGATATATGTATATATAAAATCTGTTGAGATATATGTATATATTAAATCTGTTGATATATATATGTTGAGATATATGTATATATAAAATCTG